AACCGTGCTGAGAAAACAGTCAAAATACTTCTATCCTGCAGGTTTCGACACACTGGTAAAGCGATGGGACAAGTGTATCAGTGTTGGTGGAGGACATGTGGAGGAATAAATGATTTGTAAGGCTGTCAACCTCACAGCCATCTGTGAGCCAACAGTCTAGAGAAAACATGGGAGCCTCGATATCTCAAAACCCTATGGGCCTTTACGCCCAGGGAAAGGTTAGTTTTTAGCCTCTGTTTCGCCAGGCAAACTTCAGGATATTGACTGAAAGAGACGACGACCGCTTCCTTCCAAACCCTTTCCAGTTCATTCACCAATCATCATACCAATCGACGCTATATAGCCTACATACTGACAGTATCGCACCAGACATAACCTTAAAAATAAAGTAGCAAGCAAAATTCTGTATTCTGTCTGCTTCTCCTCGTATTTCTTGCTCGACTTAGTCTTCGACCCCGAAACGTCCATAAACACATACTAGACTATAACCTGTCATTAAACTATTCTCAATTTCATTCATCCGTGAACTGCTCTGTAATAAACCTACGTAAAAGAAAAGTAGTCCCTGTGCCATGAAGACGTATAAGGGAATGGATGTATAGATTCACGTATTATTGACTTCTGCACTAGTTAGAGGTGAGTAGTTAGCTTCACGCCCCGGCCGCTTTATGCCCAGGTAAATATCCCCCGGCACCCACTTAATAGGAGGTCTGGACGAAGTGGCAAGTAAGTAAAGTAAAAAAGTAAAGCCATGCCTGTAACAGGCCGTGGAGGCCGATAGGGATGTGAGACGTTGAGGTTCCCACATTATCTAGACAATCGGCTCATAGATGGCGGTGAGGTTGTCAGCCCTACGCGCCAATCGCCCTTTACCCCCCAAGAATATTCCTGGTACTCATTTCTGTTAGAGGCTGAGTCGATCCCAGGGCCATAATGAGGCTGGAAGGATTAGGTAAATTGAAGAAAATCCGATGATCTAATCGGGATTCGATCCCGCGACCTTCCGGCTTGTAGCATACTGCCTCAACCAACTACGCTACCGCGTGCCCCCCTGGACGAAGTTGTAAGAAGAAAAATTTTGACCCTACCGGGACTTGAACTTCAACCCCTCTGTCGTCCAACTTGTAGCCAGTCACTATACTGACTGCATTATCGTAGCTTACACTCTGTAACACATAAAGGTAAATTTGTCCCTGTGCTTGACTAATTAAGCACTACTCCATTAAGGCATATGGAATGGTTGTATAGATCCACGTTTTCTTGACCTTAGCACTATTTGGAGGTGAGTGGTCAGCTTCACGCTCCGCTATGTAACACACGTATAAGCCAAGTACATATACCTGAAGGGGAAAGGTTAAGCTGTAGCGTAGTTGGTTGAGGCACTGTGCTACAAGCCGGAAGGTTTTGGGTTCGATTCCAGATGAGATCATTGGATTTTTCAATTGACGTAAACCTTCCAGCCGCAATATGACCCTGAGGTCGACTCAGATTCTAACACAAATAAGTATCAGGTATCTTCCTGGGGTGTTTAGAGTGGCCGGCGCGTACTGCTGACATCCTCACCGCCACCTATGCACCGATTTTCTAGAGAACATTTGGGAGCCTCGACGTCTCACAACCCTATGGTCTTCCACGGCCTGCTACAGGAATATACTTTACCTTGCATACAGCTGAAGAGTGAATCTATTTTAAATTTATACGAATCATAAATATTTCTCAGATGAAAGTGGTAGGATCTAATGTAAGTATGAAAATAGGTTTGCTCTGTACACGATGTGAAATATACAGTTGCTTTGAAATGATTGTGAGAATAATGCCAGGATACACTCGTATGTTATACCAGTCTGTCTCTCCGTTCGTACTCTTATTAAAGGGCTTTGTTTGTCGTTTATCTCTGCTGCCTCATTCGTTCTGTTAAGCCCGAAATATGGAAGTAAAGTCGGTCGCATCAGAAGCTTGCTTAAATTTTCTTGGCAACATAACAATAATTCATGGGAACAACGGGTTTAAATATGCATTGGTATTATGTTGAATTATATAAGCTTGTTTTGAATGTCATTTCTGATCATGGTTGGCGGTGTTCAAGGAAGGGGAAAGCGTTCGTGAGCTTACAAGTATCTTCATCTCTCTCCTTTAGCAAACTTACAGCATTCTGCCGTATTACGGAACGAATATGCTCTTGAAAGAATTATAAAGGTAAAAGGTAAACGTGTCCCTGTGTTTAATTAATTAAGCACTGCTCCATGAAGACATATAGGAAGTGGACTGTAGCCTTGACACGGACCGCACAGAAAATACCGGTTCCAACAATTACTCCATTATTGCATGTTACACAGCCGTCACTTATTAGTGGCTGTTTCTATGATTCCATATTTCTTTGCTTCGAGCGAATATGCCACAATACAGTAGAGAGGAAGGAAGGAAGGAAATCTTTTTTGCAGTCGTCCTCATCAGCTGCCCAAATATAGTTATTGACTGTCTAAAACGTCTCTGAGTGTACGTAATCCCTTGAGAAGTCCAATTTAAGGAACAACTTCTTCATATTCAACAAAGTCTTCCGTTTGACGAATTTCATTCCTAATATATGTTCAAAATAAAATTTAGTAGCTGTTTAATAATGTAACGAACTACATTACTGATGGTAACGCAACCTTAAAAATAATTTCCAAAACTAGAGCTTTCCACCTCTATTGTATGTTGGAAACCAGGGTCCTCATTTGTCAAACTCGATATAAAATCACGACAAAATTTCTGTCAAAATGAAGGATCACTCAACGCAATTCAACGCAAGCTATGAGAGAAAGCTTTCATCCGAGAAAGTGAGTAACAAACACAGGTGTCCATGCGCAGATGCAAGTCGCTATATTAATGTGAGATTATTCCACATTCCTTTCAGCACGTTCTATTCGATATTTTATGTAAATTCTCTGTTTTTCGTGCTCTGCTCTCGTCTGTACACACATGCGCATTACACTTAAAGCCGTTCCAGAATTTCACAGGTATGTAGGATTTGAAGTTCTCACAGCGGTGATTATGAAGAGTTCTCTTTCTTCTGCGATATAACGCCATGTATTCCGTTGAATGTCAACTAGTACTTCGGAGGAACATTTCACCTTCATTTCACAGTCGAAGAATGATCCAAATAAGAAACCAGCATGAAGCACGTAACAGGTAGAAACTTCGATTAACTTTAAAAGGACTGCACGGCGTTATATCCTGGAAGATAGATCTCTCCACTTGTATGTGTTTAGTCTGACATGCTCATATTAGAATTGGTAGAAATACTTGTTTTCGTGTTGTGAACACGGGCCTTCTTCCGAAAGATCAGTGACAATTACATTACACAACAGGTCAATGATTTTCGAACCTGGAAAAAAAAATATTCTCGACATATCCTCCACCAATATTTATACACTTGTCCCATCGCTTTACCAGTTCGTCGAAACCCGCAGCATGGAAGCATTTTTACTGCCGTCTCAGCCACTTCCGCATCTTGTCGACCATCTGAGACTCTCAAACGTCCTTGAGAGAATTTCTCTGCATAGCTGTAAAACGCTTCACTCGACAAACACTTCCCACACTAAACAGGAAATATTTCTATATGGATATCCTTCGCATTGAGTTCTTTTGCCCACAAAAACCCGCATAACAGAACGATGCTATTCAGTATCACACTCCTCAAGCACGGTCGCCATTTTGAGTTTGAAACCAGCTGTGAACACGCGCATGCGCATCCGCTACCTAGGCTGTCATGAGGCTGGACTGTGCTGCTACCTAGTGATACACATAGATACCATATTGCATAGCGGCCTCCGTAGTCTAGGGGTAACGTTCCGACCTCATGACTCAAGGTACGCGGGTTCAAACCTGGCGGAGGTCGTGGAATTTTTAAGGGCGGAAAAATTCATGGAACAAGTCCTCCGGGAGGGACTTTGAGCCGTGGGTCCCGTGTCGTAGATTTACAGCACGTAAAAGAACCTCATAACTCTAGGAGACCTCTGAGCTAAATTTGGCAAAAAGTTTCCCGCCCAAAGTAGTTTCCAATGCCTCCGGTAGATGGGGAAGTATTAGGTACCACTGCCAGAGGAGGGGGGACCTCTCTGACAGAAAGGGACTAACTATTAGATACCACTGCCAGTAGAAGTTTGGAACCTCGCTGGCAGAAAGGGGCTAATAGCGAGCATCAGTACCGGTAGGGTATGGAGACAGTAGAAATTAAAGAGGGGGCGCACAATGGACCAATAACTGGTCTAAGTGCATGGGTAAACCCACCCCCTCAATACTGAATACTGAATACCCTGTTGCGTCCATTATAGATGTCTTTCTTCCATTTGCGACCAATTCACTGACTGCCTCTCGTATAAAGCTCAAATTAGCAATGAAGCTGTGTCGGCAGACTAACACGTCCTATTGGACTTTTTCTGCTCATTGTCTAGGTTAAACAAGCACGTGGTTTCGAGAGGTGACCCTGCTTCTGTTCTCGGGTAAAAATATGAAACTTGCTCAGTTGGATGGTATAGATAGAGCTAGTATCTCATCTCTCTCTGTGTGCGGGGCTAGAGGTTATGTCCAACTAATGACCCCAGCAGAGCGTTTATATTTACCTTAAGATGGAAGCAGAGGCAGTTCAAAAAACGTTGTTTCTTTAAGCAAACAGAGACTGAAAAACATCCAGTATGGTATGCATTTCATAAATGTCGAAAAATCAAATTGTTCTGAAATGAATATTAGAGGAAACATTCTGCTAATACTGCCCGCCCCTTTAATTTCTTTACGAGTGCAATTTTGATCTGTTCATGACAGTCTGCACTAAATAAATAGGCAATTAATGAAGGACTACGAACAGTTACTGGGTTCTAGCAGCATACTGCTCTTGCGCACTGGTGTCACTTGGAAACTGCACCTCATATGCATGCGAGCCTTCATTCATTTCCGATTTCTGTCGGATGAAAATGCACGTACAAAGTTCATTAATAATCGCATGTTCTCTTCTGTTTCAGATTTCAGCAGTGACGAGCTTTTGTCGAGTAAGTATGACATCTCCTGCTATATGCATGCCACATGTACACAGCTCAATTCGAACTCGCCCAAATAATGGCTACCCTCTCACCGTAATGGCGGATGAAATGTCTCATACTCCCCTGGTAGCACACTGTTACTACTAAATATCAAACTTTAATGGATGTATTTAAAGTGGATCGGTTTATTCTGTTTGAACACGAATGAGGAATCGTGAACACTTTTGAACCTTAGAAGGATTTCTGGTTAGACCAGAGAATTTTAAAATATGGTACAACCTCGATAATCCGAACTAATTAAAATAATGATGTGTTCGGACTATCGAATCTTTTGTATTACTGGATTTTTTAGAAAAAATATATAGGTACCTTCCATGTTAGGTGGGTCCCTTGTCAGCACACCATGGCGCGTTCTCAGGTTGCGGTTGGAGAAGACGGCCTCCAGATATGAAGAGTAGCGGCGAATATATTGAATAAGCAGTCGCGGACAGCCTACAAGAGGTGATCTTCCAGAGTTGGGATTGGGCTAACAGTTCCTCATCATAAAAAGAATAAACATGTTACGAAATATCACAAAGAAAGTTCAGGATAGGGACCAGCGGATGGCTCTTGTGAACACGTTAATGAATCTTCGGGTTCTATAAAATGCTGGGAAGCTCTTGAGTAGCTACACAATTGGCGGCTTCTCAAGAAGGGCTCGGCTCCATGAAGTTAGTTAGCTTATAGGTGCCTTTTATATACAAAAAAAGAGCGGAACGAGCGGAAGTCCGACTGAACGTCGAGCTTGGGGCAAGCGGTAACCTGGTTCCATCATTCATCACGCAGAGAACCAGATCCATTAATATATACTACCATGTTTCACGAGAACTAATTTTTACCACACGTAAGTAAAATACTTAGATCAAATTTATGACTTTCGGAGCTGCACATTTCTTCTGGTGGTATGCAAGTCTTTTCGGATTACCGAGGTCCCGTTATATATATACACGTACATGCGGTCTTGTGGATTGTTATGCCTTGAATTTAAAAAATATCGCGATATGATTTACATCATTCTCGCCTCCATCTTCAGTGTCAAAGTGTAAACCGAACAAGAAACCATAAGAAGCAGTTGGCAAGATCAATTAACTAAATTTACTTTTCGACCATGAGGATGGAGGCGATGTATTCCTCCGAATCGTTGCTCTATGTGCGAACTACATGGCGTTATAACCCCAGAATCGTGGTTTACGTAAGGACATATTCAGTTCTTTCTTTGTACGCCGTGAGCCGTTGGACACATTGCGTTGAAATTTGATGAGGGAAGCTGCCATCAAGCCTTGTCGGACAGCACAGATTGTCATAAATATCAGTTGAAAATTAGGTCTTGTTTACGTAAAGCCATAATTTGAACTTTTTATATACATGATAGACATAATTTCCAATTTTATTACTAAAATTTTATATCGAAACTTCTGTAAAAAATTCGCGGGTAATTCTGATGTTCAGCCATATTGGCCGATAAAAAAAGCTAGTTTCTGCAGAGTAAGGAACTGGTATTTACATATATTCTGTAATTTTTTTCCACAGATTATTCTGAAATTCGATATGTCAGACTTTCGCCTGTTTTCATTTCATTGTTCCTGTTTTCAAGTGATATTTTGTGTGCTTCATTATGAAGTACACCATTTCCAATTACCCATATATTATAAATTTTTACAGTAAATATATTTTATTCTGATTATGATATTTCTCAGGAAAAACTCTACAGTATAAAATTATGTATTCTGCGTAGTAATTGCAATGTTGTTATTTTAATTCTCATTTGATGTTTGTAGAATATTGTGGCATATTTGCTCAAAGCAAGAATTGTCGAACCAGAGAAACAGCCGCTGTTAGCCAAAGATTCTGAAATAATATTCGTTTCTCGTCAACGGCCGCGAAACAATGACAAGAAGTCCGTTGCTAGGCAGGCCTCTTCTATGGAACGGCTCTATGAACATAATCCCGCTGCAACGCATACGAGAATGAACGGTGTTGTTTGGGGAGGCAAAGCCGAGTAGTCATAAGGAAGACAATTGCCACTCTCTGTGGGAGTTTGTGAAGAAAAGGGAAAGCTGGAAGGGATCCGCCAGTCAGAAAGGACTTGAACGCGAAAACTCAAGAACCTACACTGTTAGAAGCCGTTACCAGGGAACTGCTGATGAAGACACAGCAGGCTGGAAAATATATAGCTTGTGCTGTAGTGTTTTCTAAGTTCGGACATCAGCCATGGCGCTGTAATTGTTTGTAATTCCGAGTCGTGTGTGTGTGTGTGTGTATGTAAGTGGTCAGTAAATCCAATCATCAATTCAAAAACACCGGCGACAGACATGCACCCGTGATAATATTAAAATTGTGACAGAATTCTTGGTGATAGATGAAGGAACTCGCCTGTAGTTGTGGCTCCTCAAGTGATGATATTGTCATCAATCCCGGACGAGTTTTGAGGCAGACACGTGAAGGGTCCAAAGATTGTTTTACATTCGGCCGCTGGAGGTGGGTTGAATTATTTGTGGTTTTGAATGCACCCATGTGTGTATCGAAAATTAATTTAGACCTTCGTAGGATTTGAGTGTCTCGCCGCGATGATTATAAATCGTACTACCTTTTGGATATAACGCCTATAATCCCTGAAGATGGAGGCTATATGTTCCTCCGAGACTTCGGTTGACTTTCAACGCGCTACACGGCTCTATAGCCCAGAAGATAATACTTTCAAGTTAATCCTTGTGTTACTAAAGTTACAAACTGAAAACAGGGTTCCAAATAACTTAATCGTTGGTGTGGATTATTGAATTTCTGGATTTTTCTATCGTCCCGTACCATGAGGGAGCACGCGGTAACGTAGTTAATTGAGGCACTATGCTACAAGCCTGAAGGTCGCGGGTTCGATTAGGTCAGTGGATTTTTCAATTTACTTAATCCTTCCAGCCGCACTATGGCCCTGGGGCCTACTCAGCCTCTAACAGAAATGAGTACCAGGAATTTTAAGGTGTAAAGGGCAACCGGTGCCTAAGGCTGACAACCTCACCGCCATCTGTGAGCCGATTTTCTAGAAGATATGGGAGCCTTGACGTCTCACAAACCTATAGGACCTCCACGGTCTGTTACAAGGATCGCTTTACATTTTTATCCGTATTCTAAAGGAACAAAACATTTCTGAAAATGGATCTGCTCTTTTAGAATAAGGGACGGTGGAAAGAAATAGCCCAAAAACTTTTCGAACATCCAGCCCGTTTCTCATGTGTTTGTCACTTTACTTCGAGATATCGTTTAACATTCAGACTCTTATACGTTTAGAAAACTTGTTCGGTTCTATGCTCTTCTTAATTTCCTTACTAATGTTTCATCCACTTAACGACCTATCGATACGAAGTGTGTATCAACACGCATGCATACTGTCTTTCGGAGTTCTCCAAGCATTCACATTTCCTTGCTGCGTCACAGGAAGCAATTTCGTGGCTTCGCTTGCGCCCCCCCCTCCCCTTCTCACAGGGTGGGCAATGCGGAGGGTGTGCTAGCCGACATGAAATATGAGAACTTGGTGCGCGATCACGTTTGAAGAGTTTGTTCCGTGACCTCAAGCGACCCCAGGCCGAAAGGCAGACGAAACAGACTTGGTAGTACCAGCACACCTAACAAGACATGCTCTCCTTCTGTGGAACTCGAAGGCTCATTTTCATGCTCACAAAAGCCAGAGACCAACTGGCGAGGCTGTAACGCTCCAGATTCGAATTCTGGAAGTACTGAGTTCGAATTACAGCCGGGCAAGACTTTTCTGAAGGATGTTTTCGTGATTTTTCTCAGTCACTGCAGTTACGTAAGTAAAGTAAGTGAAGGTATCCCTGTAACAGGCCGTGGAGACCCATAGGGTTGTGAGATGTTGAGGTTTCTACATTTTCTAGACAATCGGCTCAAATATGGCGGCAAAGTTTTCAGCCTTACGCGCTGGCCACCCTTTACTCCCAAGAATATTCCTGGTACTCATTTCTGTTAGAGGCTGAGTCGACCCCAGGGCCAGAGTGCGGCAGGAAGATTTAGGTTAATTGAAAACAAATCCAATGACCCCATCGGGACTTTAACTCGCGACCTTCTGGTTTGTAGCATAGTGCCTCAACCAACTACGCTACTGCAGATACGTACCGGGATAATACCTCTGTTTAGGTAATGACTTCTTTTCGGATTTATTATTTTTCTATTATCCTAACATTTGACACAAATAAGAGTCCGTCATTGAACCTCATCTTAACCCAGATTAATCCAGCCCACGTCTTTATATCCTATCCCTTGTAATATTGTTTTTCGTTCTACGTGTGCGGTACAAGTTGGCTCAAGCGATTCCCCCACACGTTTTCGTGGCGTCTTAATGAAACCGAAGGAAATTTATATAGGTCTGTGAAAACCAGATTTCAGTTATCTTTAAAGTCTCTTACAAAAAATTACACTTTTAAATTTGAGTTTGTGTGTGCAACGCAGAGGTCACGCCGAATTAAATCCACCCCAGTAACCTATACAAAGATCCGTATGTTATAATTCATTGGTATCGTGACATGCAGACCCATCGCCCAGTAACAGCTGTGTAAACAGGTGACAGTAAAAAAGCTGTTGCTAGGGAACAGCTGTATGGACACGTTTCCATTGCAACGAGAGTACACGCAATAATGGAAGAGACGTTTTCTGTACGGTAAGTGCCGGGGTTAAAGCTAAGGCATAAGCTGCTGCACAAGCCTGCATTGACAGGAAACCTCTATGTACCTTGCATAAATGTCACTTAGTATAGTGCAGTGACACACAAAGCCCACAGTGACCCAGACGCCGTGACAGCGCGGATAAACTCCTGCTGAATCTGAGTGAAAGAAACGTAGCGCCTACATACGAAGACCGACCCCTCCCTCATCGAAGAGGAGGCCTCATTTCGAAACACGTACATGTCTAGTAGGGAATAAAAATCTTAGCCATTGGTCTCGCGGAGATTGAAGCCAGGAATAACTGTGCTGATGAAGGCCAGCAGCAGTTTAACCGATCGACTGATCATTCGAGTTGAGTGAGTTGGAAGGTGTAGTTGTGAGAAGTGAGAAGCTGGTAGCTAAAGCCGGGGAGAGTTCGGGAAACCAGAGAAAAGGCAACATCCACCGTTGGAAGCCACTACAGAGCAACGACTAGTGAAGACTGAGAAGACTATGTGTGATGTAGTTACAGCGCTCTTGGAGTGTGTAACTCAGTGAGACTGTCGTAGTTATTTGTAGTTACGTTCTCTAAGTGTTCACTAAGCCCGATTACCAATCCAAACCCAGTCTATAGTCACTCAGTCGAGTGACAATATTCATACAGCAACGTGGTATATGAAAGAAGTGTACAGAGGGGCAGAAATGACTCCTTCCCAGGACATGTTGATTTTATTAATTCTTGAAATGAATTCATTAATACCACGTTGATGGAAATAAGTCCAGGAATTAATCCTGCGCCCACTGCTTAGAAAAAGGTATTTAGGAGCTACATTGCCCTCTAATGAAGAGCAGGCCAGGTAAGTAGTAGGTAGAATTACTGAACTTTGAACTAGCTGTTTCCCATTTAAGATCACATAAGCTTCAGCAACCAAGGGCATCGTTAAAAGTCGCCCGACAGCGATAACAATGCTTTCAGGTTGCACAGACTTCGTAATTGACATGCCTTCTCCTCGTTACAGGATAGTACAGCAGCTCTGTGCAAACTGTAACAAAAATTCGATATGCATCGTACGGTAAAACAATCACGTAAAACCAATATTTCACCAATACATAACAGCAATATCAGCAAGGTTATTTATTGCATTTACGTGCTTCGGTCTCATATCAGTGTCATTTTGCCTTTAAAATTGGCTTATTATCTGTCTACATGCTATTTCAAAGGGAGTGTCACAGTTCCATTGAAAATATGAAATGATATTTTTTTACATGTTCGTAAGTAGGGACAATCGCTGGTCTAAATGTAGGCAAGAAAATAAAATTTAAAAATGTAGCACTACATAAATACTTCATAGACTTGTCATTCGTAACCTCAACACTAAATGGGAGTGACTGTCTTCACGCCACTAGAGCTTAACACACCGGATAGTTTGGATGGACCCCAGAGTCGGTTTCAACCAGAGAATCGAACCCAAATTTTCTTCAGTGCATGCTATAGCATGACTAGGATCTACACTGGCTCGCAGAGAATCCATGGCTTACTGAATGAAACGTGTCCCGCGGTCTATTGGTGAATTTGTAATTTAAGTACAGTTTTGTTTTGGTGGGACAACATTTGAAGACGCTTGGAGGTGACAACTCAAGATATGAAATTTATGTTTAGTGCTGAATGTATCAGTTTATTGGGACTATTGGGATTAGCAATGTTTTTCTTCCTGTTGCAGTTGTCTGCTGTGGTGGATGGTGTCTATTCTGACCACTCACACACAGCGGGTACCTTCAGCATGCTGTCCTCTAGCAGAGTTTATGTGGGCGGTAGCCAGAACACGCATGCGCTGCCCGGTTCCAGAATACATAACAATTTCGTCGGTTGTCTCCGAAAGGTATTGTAGAGCCTTCATTCTTTAACTTTACTGTTATTACTTAACGATCTTCATACAGTCATAGAGTCATAAACTTGCGCCCCGAATTTTTGGACTTAGGACTGGAAACCCAAATGGCAACAGGCCATGGAGGCCCATAGGATTTTGAGACGTCGAGGCTCCCACATTTTCTAGACAGTCGGCTCACAGATGGCGGTGAGGTTGTCAGTTTTACGCGCCGGCTTTCCTTCACCCCTCCAAGAAGATTTCTGATACTCATTTCTGTTAGAGGCTCAGTCAACCCCAGTTTCATAGTGCGGCTGGAAGAATTAGGTCAATTCAAAAATCCAATGACATCATCGAGAATTGAACCTGCGACCTCCCGGCTTGTAGCATAGTGCCTCAAGCAACTACGTAGCCGCGTGCCCCATATATATAAGTTAATTTATTTTTATTATATTTAATAATTTAAATATTCTATATCGTGTTATTTGATGTCCCTTAAGAGATTTAATGAAAATTTAACTTTAGTATTAAAGAACAATAGGCGTTCAGTTATTGAGAAGGTGATCCGAACCTTGAGATCCAGGAACGTACGTGTAATCCTGTAAGTTCCATGCTATAATGAATTCGACTTAATGATCCGCTTTCGGGAAATTGGCAAGCCGTAAGTTCGACGTAGCACTGTGTACACGAACACGTAATGTAACTGTGAGATGAAAGCTCTGGAATTACGCAATTTCTGGTTACCATAGCAACGAATTGCCACGTATTAACAAGTTGCATGAACGTATGTTCTCTGAGTGGTGCTAATAACTTGATGTGCATATATGAAGTGCAATTATTATTTATCACCGAATACGACTTAGTTTATGAGAATTGTGATGGATCCTTTCCTTTTCAAATCATATACGTAGATGCTTACATAGTCCAGTTCGCAAAAAAAAAATTGTTCTGTCAAAACTGTTGAGAATTTCACCAGTTATATGGCCCACATTATTACTTCCTTACCATAAAATTTCTTTATTAATGCACTGTTAATCGATCACAGTGGCCGAGCGGTCTAAGGCGTGAACTGTCGTCGCCCGCTCAAACACTGCGTTCGAATCCCACTCGATGCGTAAATGTCTGCTGTTTTGTGTTGTCCGATGCCTTGTGACGGGCCAATCCCCCGTCCAAGGAGACCTACCAACTGTCTGTAAGATTAAGAAACTGAAGTGAAACGAAGCGTTTCACAGAATTCCTATGCTCCAGAGAAAGTAACAGGAAATATGAATGAATGAATGAATGAATGAATGAATGAATGAATGCAGTTTGAAGGAGCAATTAAAGATTTACTCTTTCCTGATGATTCCTTAATTAATGATGCAATGCCCATAAGGTGTTCTGGAATAGCAAGGATGCTACAGCTTAAATATTCATGAATCGCACCCCCGGGGGTGTAAACTGGCCAGGGCTTGATGCTGACCATGCACTTCTACTTATTGCCGAGGTCAAGAATGATTGAGCTATACCTCCACTCCTCCAGTACATCCTCATGTTGTGATGCTTATTTAATTAAACACAGGGACAATTTCATTTTGTTTTACTTTACGTTTAGTAATATGTAAGGATGGAATAAAGCCTTCCTTGAGAAGCTAATAGTAACTTTGTTAGTCAGGAAATTCTTTTTTTGTTTTGGCACGATGCAGAAAATTTGGTCTCTCCGGTGATGACTATTATTCTGATAGTTCTCTGGTTCTAGAATATTATCTTTAAGCATCTTGTTACACTCACACAATATATATGAGACAAACTCCGTCTTAAGTACAATAATTTAATTGTAGTTCTTTCTTCTTCCCTTCCTCCACACTACATGCTTCGGCCCTAAATGACCATCATCAGGTGTGTATTCTTACGTAGCTGCTACACTGCCCGTAGTTTAAAATTTAAAATCACCAGTCTTTCCAATTGTGTGTATGTATAAAATCTTTGTTAACCTATACGAGTCAATTTGATTTCTAAAATTGGCACTTTTTTAAAACTTCATTTCAAATTAAAATGTCTATAAATTTTCTATTCTTTTTTTCTCAAATTTTTAAAATTAATTTTTTTTCGGGGTACACGTCCTATGTCTATAGTACTGCAGCGGCCACTTCTTGTTTTATCGCTGTTCAGGTATTATTCTGTGTAGGCTCTCTGTGTGTGTGTCGCTGCTTATCTTTAATACGTGTGCACTGGCTTTGCCAGCCACGGCGGACACCACGCTAAACTTTTGACTTGTTCGCTTCGGTCGGACTCCTCGCCAGTTTAATCACTAGCTTCACGCATTTGTGTGTTACTACTGAACTTCAGTGCGGCAGCATCGAGTAGCACACTCAGCACCTCCCTGGAGGCTAGCTCTCACTACCTGCCGAATCCTACCGCGTTGGTGCATAGTGCACTCACATCCTTTTGTTCATTTAACAAGTAACTATAATTAATATTCCTAATGTAACCTTGTGTAAGCATTTGATTCAATACATCGTTCTATTAACCTGGAAACCGACTTCCGAAGACTTGAATTTCAATTCTTAAGTGCTCCAACGATCCCAGTCCACAAGACTTCCCCTCGGTCTACAAGTACATCCCATCACTATCCTTCGGGATACAACAGCATTTCTCAGTTTTCTGTGTGTTCACCAGCAGTTTTCTGGCAACAGTTTATAACAGTGGAGATCCCTCTCAGGTCCTCTCTTCACAGATGCACGTACAGAAATGTGTAACAACTTGCTTTGCTTCTTGTTTGTAACATCTCAGCACTGACCACGCAGAAGCACCCCGTTTCCAACAGTAACTCAATAGTTGCGTGCGTATTCGTTGCTAATGGAACATGTTTACCGAGCCGGTGCCTAGAAACGGACGTTGTTTACAGAGTTACCACTTAGCAACGGGTCTATAAGCCACAATATAAATATTACATATGTTTCTGTATTTTACTGCCATCTTGTTTGTTATATTTGTTGATGTGTGTTCTTCTGATATCAATTGATGCTGAATGTGGGCTGTTTTATACGTTAAAACACCTTAAATGTTCTGTTATGAGAATATAATTGTATACCGTTGTAACTGATATTGCATTGCGCTTAACCATGCCTTCTCTCAGGAAGTTAGGCGCTGGCTTCTCAAATCGAATCGCCAAGTTCAACACCGAGTGAATTTATATGGTATTTGTTGTGGAAGATTTATTAGATCAGGTTTCTAATCGAATTTATTCGATTTCTCTCCTGATAAACACCATTCTAATCTTTCACTACCCTCTGAAGTGTGCAACATACCTGACCAGGCAGCACATTATCAGATTCTTGCGCTTCAGTTTTTGGGCCTCAGATCTGGCTGGTTACAGAGAAAGTGCGGTAGTTAATTTTGTACTACGTTTCGAACTATTTAGGTTAATTAGAATCTTGACATATAAATTAGTTTCAGCCCACGTTACAAGGATTTACAGTCTCTTTCTTTGATAACCTGTTACTTTCCCACATCCTTTTGTATCAGTCTATGGCACAGCAGCTTGTGGAGAACTTTACATAAGTTTCATGTTAGCTGTTAATGCACAAACGAGCTGACAGATGTTGCCAGTGAACGTGCTTCTGGAGCAAAGCAGTAAGAGAGGCCGATATGAGCGTCAGGTGTCAAGTTCTGAATTTCTATGCTATATTAAAAAGTGGACTTTGGAAGGAAAGAAGGGTCCAAGAAGTATTGTTTTTGTCTTTTATTTTAGCTTCCATAAACGTTGAAACGTCACCAGAAATCATCACTCTAAAACATAAGAAGAAAAAATAACAAAAGAAAACATTTTATGGAGAATTATTTAAATCGTAACAGAGCTCAAAAAATTTGTATTTATACGATTATATACGAAATAAAATGTTTTTGAATTAGTCGGGTCAGTTTATCATAAAAATAATAGCACAAATATTGCAACCTACATAATGTATTTTTATGATCTTAAATGTAAACTTACTTATCACTTAGTACACAGTTTAAAATAATGAAAATATTATATGAAAATAAGCTTTTATTTTCAGATAAAACATATTATTACATTATTATTATTATTATTATTATTATTATTATTATTATTTTCTTCAACTACAAATGAGATTTTACCCGGTGGCAGTGGTACTACAGTAAGGCACAACACATATCATACAAAATAACACACTACACACAATGAACACAATATAAATACAATTACAACTGCAACAAAAAATTTAACCGCAGTTGGGTTTTTACCTGGTAGCTATGGTACGACAATAAGACAAACCAGACAAACAACACATATCACACAAAATAAGATAACACGCTCAAACAAAACGCAGTACTCAAAACAACAGAAACAATGAAGGACACACTACACGCAATGAACACAATGCAAATACAATTAAAGCTACCAAAAAATTAAGAGCATCAAGGAAAAAAATTAAATTATACAGAACAAGCGCTGTTTAGACACAATAAAATTGTGACATCATGCGAAATTCCCCTATACAGCTTTGGAATCAACATTTCAGAATCAATTTAGAAAATCAGTTTTCTTCTATCTCTCCATTACCATGTTGATTGGCATTATTACAAAAACGACAGGATAATACTTCGGTGATTCCTATAGGACGAAACTTTAAATTTCTGCTATGGCTCGGTAGGTACAATGACGACTGATGAATCGGAGTTTGATCTTGGCAGGGGCAAAAGGTTTCTCTTTTCTCCACAGCGTCCAGATCGGTACGGGGTTTTACCTGTGCTTGCTATCCATTGAGTAACAGGAGCTCTTTACCAGAAAGCAAAGCAGCTGGGACGTGAAGCTCACCACACATTTATATCTAATGACAAGTTTAAGAATACGCGAAGCCATAAATTCACTCTCTCCATGCTTCGCATGTCGTGGTACTTAATTAAGCACAGGAGAAACTTTATCTTTACCTTACCTTGAAATTATTTGCAAATGCAGACATAGCTTCTATATTTTGTGTGCGAATATGCGGTTGTGGGAGTTTGAGAACAGGTTACTGAGTAGAATATTTAGATATAAGATGGATGAAGTTAGTTAAGGCTGGAGAAACTTGCACAATTAGGAGCTTCCTACTTGTTCTCTGGCTAACCAACTAACTCCACGGAGCTGAGTAATATTTTAGGGGTCGCCAGCCGCTCAGCTACCCAAGAATTTCCCTACACTTGATATAACTCGAAAGTTCATTACCTTGTTCACAACACCTCACCGCTGGTCCCTATCCTGAGCCAGATGAGTCCAGTCCATACACATACATCCTATTTCTCTAAGATCCATTTCAATATTATCCTCCCACCTACTACTGTCTTCCTAATTGTCTCTTTCCTACTGCCTCTCCCACAAAAATTCTATATACGTTCCTCTTCTCCCCAAGCAAGCTATATGTCCTGTCCATCTCATCTTTCTCAGCTTGAGAATTCTAATTATAATTGCTGATACTAATTTTACGCTTCATCAGACGTTGTAAAAGTGAAAAATGGGGGAAACAGGATTGGATAGAATATGTAGCGTTCATGAGAGAAATATGAAACGTATACACACATTTCATAAGAAAGTCTGATGCGAAGAGTGTAGTTAGGAGTTCTAAGAATTGATAAGATTATCATCTATTAATTGTATCTAACTAAGAACATTACACAAGTATAAGGTTTGGCAATGACATCATTTTTATTTCTCTAGGTTGAGTTCACTGCAGACACACTGAAGCTGAATTTTATCGACCTGGGAAGAACTGAGAGTAAGCTTATCACTGTCGCTGGGCGCGTTGACTTCATGTGCCAGGAAGTGGAGGCTGCGGACCCTGTCACCTTCACCACTCGGGACTCAAACCTCGTAAGTATGGTTACAGTACTTCATCACAATTCCCATAAATCGATATTCACAATTCAGATTTTATAACAAATATATGAAAGTTTATTAAATTTGCCATATTTTCATTGGACTATTCTGTAATATGGGAAAATAGTCGTTACCTCGTAGTAATGACGGAAATTATTCAGTGGTGTATTTCATACAGACATAACATGTTATGCTACCAGTTATGCCGTGGTGACATGGGGGCGTGGAGGTATCCCCACTGTCACCTTCTGTACTGCAGTCACAGGGGTAAGGCTAAGGAAACGACTGAATTACTTCCTCATCGTTGCTTCATTGGCTAGGGGCACACTGTTCACGGGCCTTGTCAGGAGGGCGCAGGTGCGAAATGTGCTAAGGGGGGAAATCACAACAGAAACCCACATCCTCACCCTATGCTACCCTATATTAGTATAAACAGAATCAATATACAGTTATATACATTTTGGTACTATCACATTGAAAGAGCCGCCTGGTGTCGGGTTACACATTACGCCTGTCTACCTCTGCATCACTCAGTTGGATTTCTCTTACGCCCCGTACACTTGCTGTAACGTTCCTAACTCAGGTCCCATTGGAGGAGTTACAGTTTAATAATATTACAATTATTAAGCATGGCGATAAGAGTAGTTCCACTTACTTGGGTTGAATCTGCAGACGGATGGCGTTGCCGGATGTCGAGTCGGTACCCATTCGGACATGGTCTCCGGCCGCAATTGGCCAAAATTACTGTTAGAATAATTCCCTTACTAATTTGGTCGCTGGGTTATATACCCTTATTTATGCTAACTCATTATTTTCCCGGAGGGTGTAAGTCTGCCTCCAATGACGTCTTATCCCAAGGTGGGTGATCTCGTTGGCTGGGATCCTAAGGGGACACACCCCCTTCTACTGCCAGACCATTTCGCTAACGCTTTTACCTGCAAACGTTCCCCCATCTTGCTCAAGTGTAGCTTCTGCAAAGTTAGCATTTTGAGGTACCTTCAATGTCATTCTGTTGACTGGACATTCCCGCGTGGCAAGCCAATGTCCGTCTAAGTCCATACGCAGAAATTCCTTTAAGTTGTTTAACCTTCTTACATCCGCTTTCGTACATCTTACAAATATTTCCCCAAGACTAAATCTATTCCAACCAATATTTTTCCCTAAAATACAAAAAGTTAATACTCTGTTAACATATTACCGGGAGTTGGCCTTCACTCCACAACATAACGTATCATATCCTGTACTGGTCTAATCAATCTTGAGTTAGTGGTTGACAATGAAGCTAAGTCCTCTTTGAGAAGCTACCAGTCGCTCACCCACTCAAGAATTTCCCAAAATGTTATGGAACCTGAAGTTCACCATAGTGTTCACAAGAGCAAACATCTATCTTCGTTGTATGCATCCTGTTGTGTGTCATAATTAACGGAAACAGGCTTGCCCGTCGCTACAACAACATTTAATTAAGTTAACCAATTGTTGAGAGTTACCTTGGCTTATTTAATTAAATATTGTTGTGTCGATGGCCAAACATTTCTCCGTTAATTAGCCCACCACTGGTCCATATGCTGAACCAAATGAGTCCAGTACAAAACTCTCAATCCTGTTTCTCTAAGATAACTTTTAGTATCATCTCCCCATTTACGTCTGTCTTCGTAGTGGCCTGTTTCTTTCTGGCCTCCTCACAAAAAAATCAGTATACATTCCTATTTATCTAGATACGTGCTACATACCCTGCCCATCTCATCCTCCTTGACTTCATCGTTCTAATTATACTTGAAGAAGAGCACAAGTTGTGAAGCTCTTCATTACGCAGTTTTCTCCAACCTCCTGTCACTTCATCCCTCTTCAATACAAACATTCTCTTAAGCAACCCGATCTCAAAACACCGTGAGTCTGTTATCTTGCCTTAATTTCAGAAACCGAAGTTTCGCACCCAAGAACTGGAAACGTTTTAGCGAATTTGGTAGCAAAACAAATACTTCATCACAGGATATAGATTAGCATTTTTCTAAAACCTTGATAGGCCGCGCCATAGCTCAAGCTGTTAGTCACTGGCTTCCCACCGCAGCGGCCAGGGTTCGATCCCGGGTCTGGTCAAGTGGGATTTGTGGTGGACAAAGCGGCGCTGGGGCGGGTTTCCTCCGAGTACTTCGGTTTCCCCTGTCAATCTTCATTCCACCAAATTCTCCATCATCATAATCACCGGGGGCAGGCTACAGTAGGCCAAACAGTGGCCGCCGTGCCGAGTGGACCCAGTTGGACTCCACCCCCACTAAGCGAATTTAAAAGAGAAAAAGCCTTGCTACGATGTTTGCTTACTTTTACAAGAATGTTATATTACAATAAAATAGTGGTAAAACATTAATATAACCAGAAGGAAATCTCTAAGCTGAGTTTGGTTTAACGTTTAACTGTCCCCATGAGATTCATTCCAGGAGACAGATATAGGGCCTCCTGCCGTTATAAAACTAGGGGCCCCACTGAGATCAAAGTTTACTAGAACTGGAATGCGTATAGTCCCTCTGCACGTTCCAATTGCACCACTGAGGGAAAAATGAAAGTGTTAGTAGCTATTCGGAAAAGTTTAACTTAGAAGTGAGTGAGGTTAAATTAAATAACAGAGCAAGAGAGAGTTAGCATGTGTATAGGCAACGTTCCATTGAAAATCTCTAATTAAATATCAAATTATCATTAGAAGTATATCGACCCATTGTAGGATACTGTAATTCTGGGTGGAAAGTATTGCATTTTGAATTGGTGCCTAGTTGAATAGGATCAGTTCTTCAGCACTCCCAAAAGAATTTCAGTCAGACCTTGACCTACAGTTTTCCGACTTTGAAATTTCCACACTTACAATTTCATTAATTAAACATTCATGAGACTTGCACTCGGAATTTTGACGGGCCATAGCTCAAGCGGTTAGTCGTTGGCTTCCAACCGCGGCGGCCCGGGTTCGATCCCGAGTCTGGTCAAGTGGGATTTGTGGTGGACAAAGTGGCGCTGGAGTGGGTTTTTTCCGAGTACTTCGGTTTCCCTTGCCAATCTTGTTTCCACCAAATTCTCCATCATCATAATTACCCGGGGCAGGCTACAACAGGCCAATCAGTGGCCGCCGTGCCGAGTGGACCCAATTGGACTCCACCCCCCACTAAGCAAAATTTTTGCACTCGGAATTTTTAGAATTACGAATCAAGAACTTGATCACAAGACTTCAATGAATATTCTTGATGTATTCTCTACTTAAAAAAAAAAGACCTTCCAAAAATCTCCCATTACCGGAGCCCTCCTATCTGAATTAACCGATGAGCTCAAAACGTCAGATTTTAATTGGATGTTAATATAAATGTTTATAAATTTTTAAATAGTTTTATAGCATGAATTATAACTCTACGTAATGTATACATCATTAATTAACTTATTTATTTTAATAGTTTAAATGTTCAACGATATGTTGATATCTCTTTATTGTTTATATAATAAACATAATAGAATTATAGCATAATAGACGTCAAAACATTAGAAGATAGGTCTCTGGACCTTAGGCTGCAGAAACATAACCCTATACAGACCACATTAAAATGAACTAGACTCACGATTTTTCGAACTCAGAGTCATTTTCGGGAAGGCATGAAGTGGGAAAAATGAAGTAAAACTGCATGAGTTGTCATGCAACGAAGAGAAAGTGAAGCAACTGGTTGACAGAACCCGTGGTCCTTTCGGGAACGTTCTGTAGTACAGGAGGTATTCGAAACCGCCTCCACACGGGGAGGCCTGTTCACCGCGCTGTTGAATAGCAACTGTCACGGCGCGGACCAAATAAAATGCATTACTCTTCTACTGTTGCGCGAGTTCGCTTCAGCGGGAACGAATTTGCCGAGCCGTTGCTTAGAAACGGGTTACTAGATTAATTTGGTCCAAATCTCATAGTTTGTGCAACCACTATTTGGACTATCTTTTGATTTCCCTGGGATCATGTGGGCAAATTTTGGGATATTAACTCCCTTCCATATCCTTTCCAATTCATTATGTACTTATTACCCTGCCATTCATTGATACATAATCTGAGATACTGAGCGTGTGATTAGAAACCCTCAAATAAGAAAAATGCTAAGTAAATTTTGGTGAAGTCTTCATTACTCTCAATGTAGAATCAGACAACACCTTTTAGCAGGTTCACATAACTTCGTAATCGAGTACTGGTATATCGTACATGAGTTCCTTTGTTTTGTTATGGGGACCGGGATGGGGTGATCAAGGAAGATGCCCCTCCCCACCCCACAATTCATATGCTGCTTTTCACCACAGCTTTTATTCATTAAAATAAACAATCAAAAAAATAAATGTCATGATAAAATAACTGGAAATAAATGAAGCAAAACAAGTTAATAAAGTTATTGCGTTCCTGCAATCACTTCCCCTCTATGTGAGGTTGCTAGCCAGGCTGCGACACACAGGTCTCTACTTACATAGCGTAGCGATACTGTAGAGGACAATCATGGTAGCGTGTAGTGCTGGTAGAGATCGGTGGTCACTGCAGCTTGACGCCGGCCGCCATAGGATAGCGGTTCCCCCCTGGAGGATGGACCTTCGGCTAACTTAGACTGTCACTGTGTCTATACTGACGAAGAAGTGCTTCTACTTCCTGTGTACTGAGGTTATATGTCCATACATCCTCCTAACCATATTGTAACAGCTTTTACAATTGGACCTCTTGTTCTAAACTAGCAACTGATTGCATGGTGCTGAAGACTCGATACAGGATATGTGATTCATCCCCTTATGTCAAATGTTCTGATTTTCGCCCTCGGTTAAGTTATTCATCTTGCCGACATTCTTTGTCAGCTCTCCCGTGTAGGAAGTCTATGCGGTCTGGCTTCCTAATGTTACTCGCTCTGGGTTTTCTGGAACCACATCCTATATCCTGTAGCTAAGCCTTTATTCTTACATGAGTAATAAAATGATAAAATTAATGATACAAACTTGTGAATATGTCTGAAATCAATGACACATAAATCAGTTAACATATATACATGTAGATAGGGTGAGGTCACGAGGTCACCTCATAACAGTTTAATGTCTCAATTTGAGAAGAAGTGTTATGTTATTCACAACGTTAATGATCAACAAGGCAACGGTTACAATGATGACGGAGAATGAAGTGTGAAGCAAAAAGCTACCATCAAGTATAAGAAACAAAAGTGTGGGGATTACATGATAAAACTATTAGTGAGTGCACCCCCCCCCAAACTCTCAGCACGAATGATCAGTTGCATTAGAATGCTACTAGTAGGCTATTTCATGTATAAAGTTGATTTATGTACAACGTGAGGCAGTATGGCTTCCATTATTTGTGTAGTTCAATTTAACCACACAAGTGTGAAGCATATAATTCTCTTACATCCATGATTTATTTAAACCGTCTTGCAGTGCATACACTCATCTATCTCCTTCTCTCACTCGCACTACATGTTTCGGCATAATAATGCCATCTTCAGGTGCTTACTCATCCACGGCAAACTAGTTCATTGCATGCCTTGTCCTCACATTAAAATAACTAAAATATATATATCTATCATATATATTGACAAATGTCGAACGTTAAAAATATTAAAATTGTTCAGGATTCCACATATATAACTTACATAAAACTGTATATAAAAATTCATTTGTTTTATCGTAAAAAGAGGTTTCTCATAGTTACAAAAAACTTCATTTCAAAAGTTTTCAAACATCTCTCCAAAACGCTGATAAAATTCTACCGAACTACACGGCGTCACATCTCAGAAGATGGTACGCTTCATAGTCACTGCTATGAGAGTCCCAAATTCATCACATTAAAATTTGAATTTATTCAATTATTTTACGAAACTAATTTTCCTCAGTTTATCACCGCAGTAGTTAGGTTGATACAAATGCCGGTAGCTGATCTGTCTCCTTTGTTATATTGTGATAATATGTGTTTTCATAATGCGCAACGGAAGTTCTAGAACAAAGAGAAAACTGATCAGGAAGCAACATGGCGTTCGGTCTCTTGTCAGAGACAAAAATGTATCCCCCCCATTGCCTCCCTCCCAGCTACGTAACCTGTTATTACTGTCCATCCATTTAGTAATGCATTCACATACCAGTCAATTAGTATGGAACTCGACAAACGTGCCAACAAAATTTGTGCCTCTTCAGCCTCCAACTCAGCAATTTGCATTCAACGAATGGCGAGAGAACGATACAGAAAGGAAAGGCCTTCAGCTGAATAATTTTTTAAAATAATTTGCATCATCCTGTACAGATTTGAACCAAAATATGGAAATATTCGGTTCATTTCCTCTCCGAATATTTTTAACGCTTCTATCTGGCTGTATTGCTTGCAGAATTCACAACTTCACGCTATATGAGTGCATTATTCCTGCAGATTCATACACTACATTACAGATAAGGCCATTTCCTTCCGTGCAACATCAACACTGACTGACCTGCAGACAGAAACACTAGGTCTTACTTTCTGGCGTATTTAATGACGCTGTTACTAACCAGACTCTTATATTGTTGAATGATAAATAACTGACGAATTGGAAAGGATTTGGAAGGAAGAGGTCATTGCCTGGTCGAGGTACTATCCAGGAATTTAGCCAGAGTGACTGATGAAAACCATGAAAAACTCCAATAACAATAACCGCTGTTCCAGCCAGGATTCAAACCGAATACCTCCCAAATATGAGTTTAGAACATTTCCGCTACGCCGTCATGATCGATAACGTTGCGAGCCAAACGGAAAGAGACCGCTAGGACCTATATTGGAGAATAATACTAAAATTGATCTTAAGAGATAGGATGGAGTTGCCTGGACTGTATTCATCTGGCCCAGGATAGAGACCAGAGAAGGGCCCTTGTGAACTTGGCACTGAAACTGTGGGTTCAATAAGATGTTGAGAAATTCTTGAGTAGCTGAACAACTGGTGACTTCTCAAGAAGGACTCAGCTCCATGCAGTTAGTTGGTTGTTATTTATTATTTCTTCTGTTTGCCTTTATTGATATTGTCTGAAATCCCTGTGTCCATAATCTAATGTTGTGCTAGTTTTGTAAAGTTTATGTTTTATTAAATTTTGCGGATAAAGCTTTGAGATCGTGGTGCTGAGGAAAACATTTGAACATAAGATGGAGGATGCTCCTCGTAATGAGGAGCTTCATAATTTGTTCTTCTCACCAAATATTATAACGACGGTAAATTCAGGGCGGATGAGATTGGCGTGGTACATAGCACGAAGTGGAGAGAACAGAAATTAATAGAAAATTTTTATTAAAAAGAACTTAAGAAAAATACCCTTTGTAAAACCTGTGGATAAATTGGATGATAATATTTAAATGAATCTGAAAACAGCTGGATGAGTGGATGTTAACTGGAGCCAGCTGGCTCAGGATAGGGACCAGAAGTAGGCTCACGTAAACATAATAAATTTTCGGGTTCCATAAAACGTAGGGAACTTCTTCAATAGCTAAACAACTTAAAAAAATGCCCTGTTCCACTGCGTTAGTTACTTTGTTTGTTTGTTTGTTGTGTGTTTCTTAGACAGGTAGGTATGTAGGTAGGAAAATGGGTGGATGGGTGAGTGGGTATGTGAGTGAGTGGGTGGGTAGGACGTTAGGTAGGTTGCTGGGTGGGTACGTAGGTAAGTAGTTGAGTGGGTAGGTAGGTGGGTGGATGGATGTTGATAGGTAGGTGGGTGGGTGTTGATAGGTAGGTAGTGGGTGGGTGGATGTGGGTATGTATGTAGGTTGGTAGGAAGGTGGGTGAACATATGTGAATAGGTAGGTAGGTTTCTAACATTAGTGTCCTAAGCTTCAAAAGCCTCATTTGTTGGTAAGCTGTGTTTCTGCAGTACAGAATATTTGACTCAAGGCAATACCTTTTACGGAACACTGCGGTTCCCAATTTGTAAATTGCCGCAAATTCTGTGCAGTTGAAAAAGTTAAGAGGGTAACAAGGCGTCGGAAAGGCATGAGGGTGGAACCTGCCTTCCTCATAAAGCCACCGTAGCGGTGGTGGAAATTTTGCCTTTATTATTCCGGCATTTTAGAAACTTCCGCTTACTTGAGGTTTAATCACGAAGAGCGCTCTGCTGTTCCCTAAGCAGTACATAACAAGTAAAAAAAAAACAAGAGAAACCGCCATTGCTGAATTCTGTTTAACGAGATGGCGTAGATTTTCATTTAAGATAATGTAAGGATTATACTTACGAAACATTTGCGTCCGAAGAAGAACGAAACACGACCTGTAAGACTATTCAATTTCCTTCTTGCACGTAAGCAGTGAGATACTACACAATGTAATTTTATCTATTGAAAGGGATTTAAATTGGCAAGATTTAAGACCAATGTAAGAAGAAGAAGTATACTGTGTTACCACATTTGAATCAATGTTATCGGGTAGAAAGTTACGAACAATTATGCTGCTTATAATCGCAATAATTTCCCATTAAAATTTCAACGGACTCTAAGTCACTAGTTATTTAATTAGTGTTCTACAAATGATAAACCCCAGTTTAGCCAACGTTTAAATGCTAGCTGTATTCTAAGTATCCTACAAAAGACCCTGATTGGAGTTCAATTTCTGTCTCAGGCTACTCGCCTAGAAGGAGAGGTGACGTTTGCAACGCCAGATACCTATGTGGTAAGCCCCTGTAGTTTGTACATCACCGTGCACTAACGTAAAGTAGATTACACATGTGCACGGTACTCATTGTTTAATTGTCACGTGACAGCAGTGGAATGAATCATCCTAAATGGACGTATAACTCAGCATATACATTTGTTGGTATTCTAACCTTCTAGCTTACTGCACATAGAAAACTGTTTCTGTGGCCTAACATCTACATTACATGAACAGCTTTCTGAAGATAACAATAATAATTTTAATGTTGTTACTAATGTTCTCATAATTTTTACAAGGCAATGAAATCATTTGAAGGACGATAGATCAAGTGGAAAGAAATAATTACAAAATCTACTTGGTTGGAAAGTTGTTGTTGTTTGAAAATTTCGCCAAAAATGTATTTTATAGTCCTTAAAGGAGTTAAATCAGTTTGCTCAACGGAGCACTCCACTTTTTTTCTTACTCCAAATTGTCATTTTCATCAGTCGATTTTTTTTTTTACTCATGCGCAAAGAGAATTTTTGAAAATTCGCCTGTTAGATACCCCGCTTTTGCCAGTCTCTCTGGCCATAGAAGCAAGAGAACTATTGAATATATTTCATGAAATCTGATACTGTGGAGTTTTACTTAAAATTTTCAACATATATCAGTTTTGGTTAAATTCGAACAATAGTAACCTAATAAGGGACGCATTACACGAAGAGCTAAATACATTTATAAACCCACGAAGCTTGGAAAGCATTTATCGGTGCGGAATATATTTCGAACAGAAGTTGTGGGGAAAAGTGTAACAAGAGCTTCACGTCCGATAAATTTTTATCGTTAATTGTCCCGAGTTTGGAGGCATCGAAGGGAAATGAGTGACTGCACGAGAATTGTTATGCTACAGTCACGTGACCTAACTTTGAAGTGTACACTCTTCGGAGATGAGATATTGTGTTGTCCGATACAAGTTCACTGACGTTTCGGAGGCGCAGATTAGCTCCATCTTCAGGGTAGAATTTCCCGACTTTTCGATATCATCCCAAAAGATAATAACTATCTTGTTCATCGCATTTACAGCCTCATGTCTCATAATCTTCAACTCTCTCGAAAAAGAATTTTATTTTAGCAATGATCCGTACATACCAGTTTGACTTAAATAATAACATTTTCCTTTCTCTTACGGTTTGGTTCAATGTAAACAGAAACTAACAGCATAACCAAATACTTAACAATGTAACTAACTGTATGAATAAAAGTACTTTTTGAGAAACCCCGTAGTTGCTTAGTTAATCGGTAAATTCTGCCCTTTTTATTGAACTTGAATGTTTATTAGCGTGTTCACAAGAGCCCTCATTTGGACTCTGTTCTGATTTACTTAAATCCCAGGCCACATTCTTTAATTTTATTCTTTAAACGTCAATTTTAATATTATATTTTAATCTACCCTTAGTTTTCCCAATTGGTCTCTTCCTTCCACATGTTAAGATCTAAATATTGTATTCATCTCTCTCATTCGTGCTACGCTCCCATTTCATCATCCTTAATTTCATTGACCGAATTTGGTGAAGGGTGCGAATTGTGACATTTCTCTTTAATTTCTCCAGCCTCCTCTTTCTTCCTCCATTTGACTCATAAATTCTCTTTACTACCCTGTTCTTAAACATCTCCCTCGGCCTATGTTTTCATCTTAATATGAAAATAAGTTAAAATTATCCGTGTATTTAATTAAGAAACACGTAATGAAGAGTTAATAAGGCGAATAGAAATGCCCCTTGCATTCAAGGCAAATAGGCAACTTCATGTCCAAGTTATTTTACCCTCAGCAAAGAATTCCTTTAGTACGCACTTGATAGAAAACTGGGTAGGCCCCAGAGCCGGTCTGGATGCTGAAGAGAAAGATCTCTCCCTCCTTCAGAGAATTAACACCCAATTTCTTGGCCATCCAACCCACAGCCTACTCACTATACCGGCTCCTTTTCTGTTAGAATGTTAAGCCATATTTTACATCTATACATAATAACCGATAAAATTATACGGATACTCGTATATACCTGTATATAGGAGCCCGGATAGCCCAGCCGGTATAGCGACTGGCTACGGGCTGGACGATCGAGTGGTCGGAGTTCGAGTCCCGGTAAGGTCAAAAACTTTCTCTTCTCCACTTCGTCCCAACCGACTCTGTGGTTCATGAAGCCTCCTATCCAATGGTTACCGGGGGGCTCTTTCCCGGGGGATAAAGCGGCCGGGGAGTGAAGCTGACCACTCACCTCCAACTAATGCACAGGTCAAGACAATATTGATCAATACATCCATTCCCACGTACGCCTTCATGGCGTAGTTCTTAATTAGTTAAACACAGGGATAACTTCACTTTAGCTTACCTTAAAATTATACATAATATATGAAAGGTAAAACTATCCCTGTAACAGACTGTTGAGGCCCATAGGGTTGTGAGACGTCGAGGCTCACACATCTTCTAGGCAGTCGGCTTACAGGTGGCGGTGAGGTTGTCAGCCTTACGCGCCGGCCGCCCTTTACCCCCCAGGAAGATCCCTGGTACTCATTTTTGTTAGAGGCTGCGTAGACCACAGGGTCATAGGGCGACTGGAAAGATCAGGTAAATTAAAAAATACAATGACCTCACCGGGAATAGAAACCGCGACCTTCCGGTTTGTAGCATAGTGCCTCAACCAACTACACTACCGCGTGCCACCTGTATGTATGCACGTATATGAATGGATAACATCTCCACAGAGAGAATTAATTCGCTGTTACATTTTTGTGACCAACTGCTCGATTTGTCCGCAGGTGCTGCCACCCTTGGACGCCACTAGATCCAGTTCAATATCCTTCAAGATCCGAACCAACGAGCCGAATGGCCTCCTCATGTATAGTAGCGGTGCCAGCGCGTCGCATGTAAGTTTCGTCCTGCTCTCCGTGTCACTTAAACACGGTCCAAAACATCTTTGAGGACATCATCAGGCAGTGAGATGCATCTCTATGCCACAATGAGTGAGTTAGTACTTTTCAGTTTCAGCATACGACCAGAACCGGAAGCACCATACCGGATATACGGATATCTCGTTGAACGCATAGGGGGTTTTCTTCCATAAGGTAGCATACTGAAGGTATGACGTCACCTCAGAGATGTTTTAGACAAACTATACGTAGAAGAGGCGATCACAGTGCATGCGCGGTCTAAGGCATGAACTGTCGTCGCCCGCTCGAAGACTCGAACCGTGGGAGCGAATCCGACTCAAGGCAAGGATTTTTGTGTGCATTTATTCTGTGTTTTTGTTAGGTAGCGTCCTTGTGACGTGCTGATCCCCAGTCCAAGGAGTCCTACCGACTCTCTTAGGATTAAGAAACTGAAGTGAAACAAAGCGTTTCACGGATTCCCTGATGCAACTTGGGAGCAGCAGGAAAAATAAAGAGATATACATAGAAGAGTCACTGGTTCGACAGACTGTGTGATAGCATTGACCAAATGAGGTTTGAGGCCACGCCATTGATCAAGAGGTTAGTCGCTGGTTTCCCATCGCAGCGGCCCGGGTTCGATCCCGGGTCTGGTCAAGTGGGATTTGTGGTGGACAAAGTGGCGCTGGGGTAGGTTTTCTCCAAGTACTTCGGTTTCCCCTGCCAATCTTTATTCCACCAATTGCTCCACAATCACCCTCACGTATCATCTGGGGCTGGTACAATAGGCCAGAAGTGGCCGCAGTAATAAGGACTTAGTCCCACCCCACTAACAATAAAACAAATTGAGGTTTGAGGCTTCTTCTGTAGTGAGTGTAAAGATTATTACAGAGTTCTGGGATATGACGCAATGTAATCTGGTAGATCTTTATTCATGCTGTCTCTTCACTCGAGGTCAAGTCAGAATGTTCCTTCAGAACGATAATACTGATGTTCCAGACTCTAGGGCGTCAGTTCGCAAGAATCTGTTAGCCTGTATTACTTTACATTTCGTAGCAGAGAAATTAATATTTCTCTAATGTGGCAAGGTTTTATGTATTCATGGTGTAAGGTTTAATTAAACACAAGGACAATTTCTAACCTATTTTCCTTATTCTGAAAAAAAAGTAAAGGGTGGCATGTGAGATCACCTTGCTGTGTATCTCTATATTCTTTTCTGTCCATCTGTCTATGTATAGTCCCAAGTTTTTTAAGTTTTTGAAGCTTATGAGATCGCTTTGCTGTCTGTATATCTCCTCTTCTAACTTCTGTTAGAAGGCTTAGGAAATCACCTTTCAGCCTGTGCATCTCTGTGGCCTCCTACTAATTTTTGGGGGTTTTCTATGGGGTCCGTGCCATATGAAAGGAAAATAGACGATTGTAAAGGCCGCGCCATAGCTCAAGCGGTTAGTCGCTGGTTTCTCTCCACCAATTGCTCCACAATCACCCTCACCTGTCACCTAGGGCTGGTACGTACAATAGACCAGAAGTGGCTGCAGTACAGGGGACTTAGTCCCACCGCACTAGTATCGGTCATTCTAAGCAAAAATGTATATATGTACATGTGTCCTGTTCCGAACGGTTTCCGAGATAGAGCTATTTCGCTGTGCAGTACACTGTACACTGTACAGACGAGCAACAAGCCATGTCCTCACACGAGTTGCAACGTGCATTGATGTTGACAGTGAAATTTTTCCCAAAGATGTATTATACTAGGTAAACTGTACCAACATCGCCACTTGAACAGTAAATACAGATATTAGAATCAGAACGTAATATATCTTTCTTATCATAATTTTGGAACTGGACAGTGAAATAGCTCTATCACGAAAACCGTTCGGAATAGGACACATGTACGTGTACATATACACATTTTGTTTAGAATGACAGATACTATGACCTCCAGTAATGTCGACCTCTTCTCCTAGGACCCTCTGTATAAACCTTGCGAAATCATGAACATTAGTACGGTGATGTTACGAAGAGATTTACATATACTTATGCTGTATGAGTTCCATATATCGCTGTTACATTGAGAACATTGTAGTGGCTGCTTCCACGGTTCAACTCTGTGGTAGCATTTGCATGCTTGGCGATCCATGAGTTTCTGTCAGTTTTGTGGGAGGGGGATTGGATATAAATTGCGCTCAGCCCCTTCAGAGTTGTTCTACAATAGTGCAATCCTTCACGGCTCCTGCTGAGGGCTGTATTTCTCTTCATTGTTAGAATTGGACTGGAAATTCTTTGAGGTTTGAAATCCTTTTCAGGGTCACGGAACCACATTCATTTTACATTACTGCCATTGACTCGCGTTTTAATATTCACTTTAATATTATTCTCCCTTTCATGCCTGTCTTCGTAGCGGTTTCCTTCTATCAAAATTTGTGACCAAAACATTTCGTGCATATCTCTTCTCTACAATGAGTGCTGCATGCCCCATCAATCTTATGTCTTTTAATTTTATCTTCCTAATAATATTTGGTGAGAAGTACAAATTGTGAAACTACCCGATATCCAGTTTTCCCATTATTTTCCATTATTTTCTTTCTATTTTATGTGACGACCCTTCTTAATCAACTTGAGATATGAAGTTCTTATGGTTTTGAATATGAATAATTCTAACCTCTGGGATTTGACACCATATAGTCTCGTAAATATTTACCATCATTTCGGAGCAACGTGTATATCTGTCTTCAATGTAGAAGAGTGCAAATGTGAAGTGTAAACTCTTATATTCTGAAAATGGAGGCAACACTTTCCTCCGAAACATCAGTAAATATTGAAGCGTGTAGAGCCGTTGCTGCGAGAAGACCACGAGTTAAGGCTAATAAACAGCTACCGTTTCTGAGAAAAGGCTCGGTAAACACATTCCCGCTGTAACTAATACGCACGCATCAACAGAAGAAAGGTGTTTTCTATGTGGTCCGTGCCGAGCAGTTATAATCTGCTATAAGTGTGATACGTACACATGATGAAAGGCCATACATACTCATAAGAGAGAAACCAATCGTCTGGTCATAGAGGGTGTTACATAATGACCATTAGCGCAAGGGTTCTGTTGTGAGTCTTAAGGAACTTGAAACCGAGACGAAATGATTGGCGGTAGAACGCCAGTCGTAAAGTAACTTTGACTTTGTCTTTGATTGAGGCAGTTAAGTTCTGCAAGGGAGGCTGAGAAGAGAAATTGACAGTTGTGGGATATTGGCCGGACAGTGACTACGTTAGCACAGAACCTGAAGAATTTCCAGTTTTGATACCTGTTACCACGAAACATCTAGTGAAGACACTTCAGGCTGGAAGAGACTTAGCGCGTGGTGTAGTGATTTGTAAAGTGTGGAAATCGGCGATTATGTTAGTGTTAACTACGATCTGTAATTGGCCAATAAATCTATTCACCAATGCATACAATGTCTATTGTCATGCACACCACTTGACAATATATACCAAGTTATGCGTCTTCAGCAGAGCTGGTTAGTGTAGCAGTAACGGTCTAGAATTGTATTCAGGAATTACTCGGTTCGAATCTCAGCCAGAACACATATTTTTACTGAGGTTTGTCGTGTTTTACTGAGTCCCTCCAGGCAATTGCCGCCGCAGCATCTCGATTAGATTATGACCGCTTCCTTCAAAATCCGTTGAAATTCACCATTTATTAATTATCCTATCATTCGACATCATTAAATACTATATCTCAGAAGCTACAAACCATAACATCCCTCAGGATAGCAACTCTCGCCCTTATAGAGTGCTGTTCCAGTAATGAGATAGCCACAGACCATTCTTCGAGGCATGACCTCTGCGCTGTGCGTCAGTTGGAGAGAAATATAGAGAGTAGAAGTGCAGTGGTTGCAGCTGCATTGTGGAAATGAGGAAGGGTGACGCACTGTGACAAAAGCTCTATTATAACCCATAGGTAAAGTAAAGTTGTCCCTGTGCTTAAATAATTAAGCACTACGTCATGAAGGCGTACGGGGGAGTGCATGTACAGATCCACATATTCTTGACCTCGGCATTAGTTGGAGGTGAGTGGTCAGTTTCACGCTACAGCCTCTTTACTCCCGAGGAAAGACCCCCTTTACCCATTGGATAGGAGGTTGGGTGGACCCCAAACACGGTCTGGACCCCAAACCCGGTCTGGACGACGTGAAGGAGAGATAATTCTTGTTTCTATTGGGTCTCAAACTCCGACCCCTTGGTCGTCCAGCCCGTAGCCAGTACCTATACCGACTACGCCATCCCAGCTCCGCATTATAACACATACACACCCCATAATCCTTATCTCAGTTAGTGGACTTGACCTCATTACATTGAGAGCGGCCAGGTATAAAAACACTGGCGGTACCCATATGAACAGTCTCTGATGAAGTATTGTTTTTTCTATGATACCCCCATCTCATAAAAATGAATAAGTTGAAGCTGGTAGGCGCTATACCGTAGAATTAAAAGTAGAAATCAAATTCTGCCACAAATTGTTAGTATTATCTCTTAATGTAATGTTAGAAGTTGGGATTTTGCGGTCAGAAAATTCATCCCGAAATGCTGTGTAAAAAATTTATGAGAAAAAAATTGGATTAAAGTTTTTTTTTGAGGTTGTGTAGAAGGCGGAAACGTTTTTCGTTCCCTCCTCTGCCGTTCATTTTATTTACTTTTCATCTGTTAGTTCCGGGAAATCATTATGCCCCTCGAGCACGTCTCGTGCTGCAAGCCCGCGATGCAAGCGCTTTTAAATTGGAACCTTCCGATGCGTGTCACACATTGGTCGCCTGCTGTCTCTCTAGAACTTTCAACAACGATACCACGCGTCTTATAACAGTAATTAGATTTTTTATAATTGAATTAAGCTCTATTGCTTAGCGAAGTGAAATTGTGGCTTGTATCAGAATGCCACTCTCCTGGGCTGGAAAAGGGGTTGACGCTGTTACTCGTCGTCTTCTGAGCTGCAAAGCGCTGTACACTTTCTCATGTACGTCTGTAAGCTTCTTTCGGACTACATAGTGGAATATCTCTTCGTATTATGCCATGAAAACATGTGGGGAAATTGAGGAATAGCTCTACCTTTCTTAATATCAGCACTAAATTGAGGTATGTGGTCAGCTGCATGCCCCGGCCTCTTTAAACCTTGAGAAAGAACCCTTGGTGCCCACTGAAGATGAGGCTGGATAGGAGGGAGAATGCGGAGAGAAAGAAAATAATCTTGCCCTTACCGGGACTACAACTACGACCCCTCCATCCCGTAGCCAGTCGCTATACCAACTGAGCTATCCTGACTCCTGAGAAAGTGCTGCAGTCGTGAAAATTGTCGATCTTGAATCTTTGGTAGATTTACGCGTTTTCAGCCCTCCTGAATACGAAAAGGCGATTCTTTGAATGCCGTCGAAGGGCATAATATATGTATGTATGGGTGGATGGATGGGTGGGTATGCGCCTCGCTAGCGCCCGAGCGTTTGAAATGATTTTATTCACGTTTGGTGTTTACGAGTCTGTCCTTCAAAGGTCGATGCTCAGGGAAGTTGAGTATTGCAACTCCGAAACCAGGTCCCTCAAATATAAAATTGCGATTCTGTCGAAACAATTCGAACGATCTTCATTAGATTTCAGTAATCTGTAGAGAAGATATCCCTAAAGAAAATTGCTTACGTGGTATGTTCAGGTAAATAAGGCACTCGCATTAGTAACACAAATTCAAAATGTCAGCTTTCTCGAAAACGACTAAATAAACGAGATCAAATTTCAGAGATTTGTGACGCCTATCTGCCCAGATATATTCATAACTGTGCAGGCGGTATCTGCAACAAAGTAGCGGCACGTCATCTAGCGGCCGAAGCTCATATGCGAGGATTGTACGTAGATTTGCACAGATTTCTTCATTTTAACGAAGCGACTTGCATTGTCTAGGGGCACGCCCTAGCGTAGTTGATTGAGGCACTATGCTACAAGCCGGAATATTACGGGTTCGAGTCCCGATGACTTGGATTTCTTTTTCAATTTACCTAACCCTTCCAGCCGCAATATGGCCCTGGGGTCGACTCAGCCTCTAACAGAAATGAGTACCAGAAATCTTCATGGGGGTAAAGGGCGGTCGCGCGTAAGGCTGACAATCTCACCGCCACCTGTGAGTCGATTGTGTAGAAAATTTGAGAACCTCGACGTCTCACAAGCCTATGGGCCTCCACGGCCTGTTACAAGGATAGCTTCCTTTTTACCTAATGATCAAGTCAAGGAGGATGAGGTGGGCAGGGCATGTAGGACGAATGGGAGAGAAAAGGAATGCATATAGGATATTCGTGGGGAAGTCAGAAGGAAAGAGACCACTGGGAAGACCAAGGCGTAGGTAGGTGGACAATATTAAAATGGATCTTAGAGGGACAGGATGGGATGGTATGGAGTGGATTGATCTGGCTTAGATAGGGACCAGTGGAGGGCTCTTGTGAACACGGTAAAAAAGTATCGTGCTCCATAAAATGCTGGGAAATTCTTGAGTAGCTGCAGAATTGGCGGTTCCTCAAGAAGGGCTCAGCTCCATGAGTAAGCAAGTATGTAAGTAACTAACTAACTAACTAACTAACTATCATACCCAGCTTCAATACTTATAGGAACAAATTCACGAGCATATTTTGTAACGGTTTGCTTTTAACATATGTTGGCATTTCTATTTATCCAAATCGTCTATCTATCTATCTCTCTACCTACCTGTCTGCCTATATATTTATCTATCTATCAATCTATCTATCTATCTATCTATCTATCTATCTATATCTTCATTTCTCTTGCTCCCATTTGAAATATAGGGCATCCGTGAAATGCTTGTTTCACTTCACTTTATTAATCTTACAGTCAGTAAGACTCCTTAGACAGGGGATCAGCCCGTCGCAAGGCCGGTGCCTACACACAAACACAGAATAAACGCAAACGGACATTCATGCCTCAAATAGAATTCGAACCCACGATTCCAGTGTTCGAGCGGACCACTGTGATCAGCAGATAATGTGTCTCGTTACTTTTATGTGCGGCTTATTTTACGATGTTGTCAGTATTTAGACTCTATAGTGTCGAGTGTTAGGGCTATAAGTGAATGAAGAATTGGAAATGATTTGAAATAAAATTGTCCTCACCGAATGGAAGTACTATTCAACCATTTTCCTGTAGGGCTGAGGAAAACGACGAAAAACATCAGGATAATCGGTGTTGCGGCAGAGGTTCGAACAGAGTATCCCCCAAATAGAAGTATAGGTTGTTAAGGCTGGATAATGCTGTTTCATTATTTATATATTTGCCTGAAATTTGATATTGGTAATGACAAGACTGACGCTTATTGAAGTTTGTACCGATAATATTGGAGGTAAATAAAGAGGCGTCAGTAACATTAGAGAATTCTGAGCAACAGTGAAGACGGCTGTCTCATGGGATATTATCTTGTGGTCCGACAGTTCACCGATGTCTTGGAAGAACGCCCTACCCCTCCACCTTGAGAGCCAAAGAAGAAGCCGAGGTAATACCAGCAAAATGCAGTTAACAAGCAGAAATCTGTTTCCTTGACTTACTATTCGGCCTTCAAGATGAGGGCGGTATGTTCCTCCGAAACGTCGGTGATTTTCAAACAGGATCACACTGTACTACTCCCCTAATAATAGCCGCTGTTCATGTTTAGTGCTGTCAGAACCGCAAATGTAATCTGAGGAACCGTTTGATGTGAGAACCCGTTGCGGTTTCTTCTGTCACGTGTCCAGGAACTGGTGTGCTTCGTGTTGCAGGCGGATTTCTTCGCATTTGAGCTGCTAAATGGGCACATCTATTTGCACCTTGACCTGGGTTCGGGCGGCGTCAAAGTGAAGGCAACAACGCGCCGTGTGGACGACGGAGTCTGGCACGAGGCGACGCTGCGTCGTGACGGTAAGGAGGGTCGCGTCACTGTGGACGGTACTGCCGCAGACTTCAGCACTCCAGGTAAATGGAATCATTTCTAGGTTCATTTTTAGCGTATTTACTTAAAGTAGGCATATGTGATCTCCTTTCTGCCCGTGTCTCCCCCGCAAACATCGCTGCTAGGCAAGGGGGTCTGCTCTTCGACGAGAGGAGGGATTGGCCTTTCAGCGCGGGAGCTCTGATTGAGCAGGGCAACGGACTTCCCTCCTCTTACACGGAGACTCATTGCTGTCAAAGCCAAATTCAAAGTCATGTTACGACCGACGGTCAGTTGGCCAGTCTGTCTTGATGTCAAGCGCCCATATGGGGTTCAAGACCAGATTTTTATTACAGTAGCGGGTTTGCTGATGTGGGGCGCTCTCTCTGATGAGAGGACGGGTCTGTCGTTTACAATTGCTGCTGGTCGTTCACCAGCGCAGTCATTCTCGGGTCCGAGTCATGCGGGACTCATGGCCATATTTTAGTGTCTCATATTCGAGACTCCCTCAACCTGGAGGGACAGGTCCCCGCATTTATATTCCCCAGGGGCAGGGTGGCCCAGTTATACTCCCTGACACGAGGTTCTCTTTCCGTCGCCTTCTACAACTCGCAAGGCTACGGTGGATATATTCCAACCCTCTTCGAACAACTACCTAATACATCGTTGCGGACCGAAAAGTGAACACCTAATGAACAGAATGCGTCACGTTTACACAATAAAGCTTTTCTAGTGAAAGTAAAGCAGGAGGTTAGTTCTTCCCGGAAGGACTCAACTGACTTAGGCTGAAGCCAGACCAGAGACTTCTTGCCGTCCTTACAAGGATGTGAAAACGAGGGAGGTGAGGCTCAGAGACGCAGATGGCCATACTGACACATTTTCACGTCCATGCGCAGTTCATTTGCAGCCATAGCAGTAAACGCGTTTCATGGAGACGGAGTTTAATTTCGTACATTAAGTTTGTTTCTCTGTATTTTTACATCGAAGGCAATACAGTCGAAGAAAGTGGAGGCTTCCCTTTTAATTTGTGAAACCTATTACTGGATGGTAATACTTTTGTAACTAATATACAAATATATGGGGCATGCAGTAGCGTAGTTTGTTGCGACATTGTGTCACAAGCCGGAAAGTCACGGGTTCGATATTTCCAGCCGCACTATTACCCAGGGGTCGACTCAACTTCTAACAGAAATGAGTACCAGAAATCTTCCTGGGAGTAAAGGCGCGTAAAGCCGACAGCCTTACCGCCATCTGTGAGCCGATTGTCTAGAAAATACGGGAACCTCAACGTCTCATAAATTTATGGGCTACCCCGGCCTGTTACAGGGATAACTCTACCTTTTTCTTACCTTGCTTGTATCAGATGCTCTATGTAATCAATTTCCTTTTGATTTTGTATAAAGTACGTAGTTTTCTTCTTGAACGTGAATATGATTTCGGTAAGACAACTTTTGGGACGCCTTGCAACACACATATCGGCTTTAACCACGTAGAACCGAAGATCTTCATTCATTGTGTCTAGTCAAAGCTGGGCCGTGACAGAGCGAAACACCTTTCTTACTACAAAGTTGTTACATAATTGGTTTAACTTTCGCGTTGTTGGGATATCAGCATATTTTGTGTGAACAATGGGAAAGCTAAACTGGCAGTAATTACATGTCAACATTATCATGGATGCGACGTCTTGTATTTAAAACGTGTGGGAGTTGAGTCTCGCTGAATAAACTCTTGTTATGTTCAAATTCCGGCCCACTTCATCGACATCCAAACCCGCCTCCACTGCACACGTATAGCCATCCACCACAGCATGAACCCACGTTATCGGACCTCCATTAAAAGGCGTCGCCTACTTCTCTGTGTATCATCACTAACGAGTTAAAATCTGCGGGCGATTACACGCAGTGCCACAGAGCACTGAGGAACGCTGCTCAAGCGATAAGACTTCTGATTTGTATTCCAGAGGTGACCAGTTTGAATCCCGGCTAGGGCATTAACTATCCTGAGTAATTTATTACGTTGATTTCTCAGTCTTATTGAACACTCTGCTGTAGCACTAATGCTGTAGAATGTTCTGTTCTGTAGGTTTCCATTTAGAATCTCGCGGGGGATACTAGCTACCTGATGGATTTCTCATAGTTTTATTCAGTTCCTCCAGGCAATTTTCTGGATAATATATAGTCAGATAACGACAGATTTCTTCCAAAACATCTTAGGTTAATAATGAATTTATAATCGTGTCGTTCTACTCTGTATAAGCTAGTTGCTGACGTCTTAAGGAACACGCAACCAACGAATAATCTCAGTTTCTCCAGCCAAATATTGGGAGAGTATCTTAAAATAGGCCACGACCAATTCTTTGAACACGTTTCCTAATTCATTTTTCACTCTCGCGCTGTCATTCGGTGCGAGGTAATGACCTTGTACTTAAATAATGTACTACAAATAGAATCGCATAATGAAGTCTGCAATGAATTTCAAATTGTTGAATATTCTGCAAAGCATAATAATAAATTCGAAGTTTATGATTACTAGCTTTTCGAATATTATGACGTTTCGTATGGTGCATGGTTAGATAGTCTCGGGGAAACCTGCTGTGTATTCAGAAACGTTCGTGTCTGTAAGCCAAACTGTACAGCATATCATCTCAGGGGAAATAATCTTAATATATACCGCCTTGAGCCAGTCACGGTAGCCGAGCGGTCTAAGGCATGTACTGTCTTCGTTCCCTTGGAAACCGGGATCGTGGGTTTGAATATCACTCAGGGCATGGATGTTTAGTTTGTGTGTGTGTGCGTTTTTCTGTGTTTTTGTACAGGTAGAGGCCTTGCGACGAGCTGATCACCCGCCCAAGGAGTCTTACCGAATGTGTAAGATCTAGAAAAACCGAAGTGAACGAAGAAGTTCATGGAGGAAGGCCTAGGCCTACTGGAGCTGTAGTGCCAAGGGGGAAAAAATGTACCGCCTTGGGAGCCTCAAATAGCAATTAATGGTTTGATATGTGTTTTCAAATCTAAAAAAAAAAAAAAAAACTCTACAGAATATGACGATTTTCCCCCAAAAAGAAATATTGATCTTATACAAAAATTATTAATCCAACAATATAAATATTACATCATTTCAGCGGAAGAATTATTAACATTTGTAACCAGAGCATGAACACTATTAATCTCACGCAGCACCGTCATGATTCAGGAGTAAGAGAGATGTAACGAGGCTGTCAGTACCCAGATTACATAGTATCTAACGATGTGATTCATCATTCATCAGTAATCTGTCAGACAACAGGTCCACAGTCTCTTCCAAAACAGTTCCTCCACTTAATGTGATAACTGATGAATAATTATTTCAAAAGAAAATTGAAGGAATGGCTCCCTGCCCATTATGTTCTGTGTTGTTTTATTACACTGTCAGTATCAAGAGTATGTCGAATATTATGATGACTGATGAATGATGATTTGGAAACTACCTGGAAAGAAGCAATAGTCGCTTTACTATGTTCCGCAATTCCCTGAAGTATTTGATGGGAACTACGAAAAGTCGGTCAGGTTAGCCGGTGTACTGACTAAATCTTAAGTCTCACACTTGTCGAATGTAAGTTTATAGCGTTACCGCTACATTAATCTGCTATGTCCGAGATTATGTTAAGGTCTTTCTATCTTTTTATCTCATAAAACAAAGAAGACGGAAACAGATCCATTTTCTGTAACGTTACGTTAGCATTATTATACAATGGACAAAGACCTGAAACTCTGTAATCTTAAACTAGATTTTCCCATTATAGAATGACGTTGGCAGCTAAAAGCAGTATCCATGCTCCTATCTTGTCTCTAAGTCAGTTTTAATGCTCGGTTGAGATTGCTGTGTAATCTGGTCTGTCAGTTAACTATTGCACCTGGCCACAACCGTGTCCTGAGGGGCATCTCATATTCTGTAGTGCTCTGGCTGTCATAATCACTTACGGCGTCCTAGTTTTCTTTTTAGTTTCTTGGGGTGGGGTGAGACAGTCCACTTGGTACGTCGACCACTAACTGGTCTACTGAAGCGGCCTCCGTTCCCACCTCATGTCTCGTAGTACGCGGGTTCAAATACCCGGCGGAGGTCGTCGAATTTTTAAGGGCGGAAAAATTTACGGAAAAAGTCCTCCGGGAGGGACTTTAAGCCGTGGGTCCCGTGTCGTAGCTTTACGGCACGTAAAAGAACCTCATATCTCCAAAGGAGCTCACTGAGCCAAATTAACGGACGTTTCCCGCCCAACAGCAGTCTCTAATACCTCTGGTAGATGGGGGAAGCATTATAGATACCTCTCAACTAGTAGAGCCGGTCTCGCTGGCTGGGCGGGACTGTTGGTAAGCACCAGTACCGGTAGGATATAGAGACTGGTAGAAATCATAGAGAGAAGCACAATGGCCCAATACAGGTCTCAGTGCATGGGGAAACCCACCCTCTCCAATAACTAACTAACTAAAATGAGTGTGGAGCAGTCGGTGGAATGAGAATTGGCAAGGGAAACCGAAGTACTCGGAGAAATCCTGCCACCTCAAATCCCACATGACCTGACCTGGGCTCGAACCCGGGCCGTCGCGGTAGGAATACGGTGTTCTAAGTGATGGTCCTGGACCTCTATTTCTCCACATCTGCTGGGGCACTTCTTTTATGTGAAAATTTTGACAGGTTCATGGCTAATCGGAGTTGGATGTGTAGTTATTTCTACGTACGTCTCTTTCCTCAATCCTACAACTGGATCCTAAAATATAAAATCCCAATGGGGTTTGCTGTCATGTCGTTATGTATATTACCAATCAAATTTCGTAATAGTGACAAAATGTGGCAGGAATAAATATTAGAATATATGATTTAATTGGTATTGTAGTGTTCACGATTGCCGAAAGAAACAACACTGTGTCACAACCCAGAAGACCACAGTCGTATAAAGTAACATGTTAAACTTCTAAATTTGTGCTACCATGAAGTTATTTTAGCACCAGATATTTAAAAAACGAAACAATTTGTTTGCGTGGTTCTGTGAGAAAAAGTATTTGTCCAT